GTAAATGGGGTAAAATTGTTATAAAACATAAGTTTTAGGTATGCAACATAATTTGCTATCTGTATGCACCACAAAGTGATCACCACTAAAAGTCTAGTTACCATCTGTCACCATATAACTGACCCCCTTTTCCCATTTTGCCCACCCGTTGCCCCCTTCCCCTTTGGTTACTACCAATTTGTTCTCCGTACCTATGAATTTTGGTTCCTGTTTTGTTTGTTCATTTATTTTTTTAGATTCACATATGAGTGAAATTTTATGGTATTTGTCTTCTTCTGACGTATTTCACTTAGCACAATATCTTCACAGTATATCTGTATTGTTACAGGTAGCAGGATTTCATTTTTTTGCTGAGTAGTATTCTTTCTGATGTCATGGAAAATGGGATTGTTTTCTTAATTTCTCTTTCTGAAAATTCATTTTTAGTGTATAGAAAGACAGTGATTTTGGTATATTGATTTTGTATCCTGCAACTTTACTGAATTTGCTTATTTATAATTTTTTAAAAGATTTTTTTCTTTCAGTAACTTGAGCATAATACGCCTTGATTTGCCTTGTGTTTATCCTGCTTATGGTTTATTTTGAGCTACTTGGGCCTTTAGGGTTATAGTTTTTAACAAACTTGGGAACTTTTCAGGCATTATTTTTAAAAAATCGTCCTCTCCCACCTCTTCTCTTGTTCTTTCAATTACATTGTGCTCAACTGCTTGATATTGTCACTCAGCTTCCAGAGGTCCTATTGTCCTTTTCCCCCTCTCTGTACCTAAAATTGAATTGCAAGGTCATACAATTATATTGCTGTGTCTTAAAATTCACTGATTCTTCTGCAGTGTCTAATTTGCTATAAAGCCCATCCAGTGAAATTTTCATTTTAGATACTTTATTTTTTATCTCTAGAAGTTCCATTTGGTCGTTTTTCATACCCCTTGTTTCTCTTCTGTTATGTTCATATTTTACTTGAAATCCATCAGTATACTTATAATGCCTTATGTGCTAATTCTGTTATCTCTGTTATTTCTGGGTCTGTTTATTGTTTTTAAAACATTATTGTGGATTGTAATTTATGGCATTTTTAGTGTATAGTAATTTTTGGAAGGATGCAATACATTTAGATTGTCACAGTGTTGGGTGGATTTTATGATCTCCCATTAAAGAATGATGATGTTTGTTTTAGCAGGCAGTTAAATTACTTGTGAATCAGCTTTGTTGGGGCAGTTCAAAGGCTACTTAGTAAACTTACTACTTAAGGTATGGCCTGTATGGGGTGGGGGACCTGCTGACTGCCCAAGTGGTTGGCATGGTTTTTCTACTTCAACTGGACAAAATTCAAATATCTTACTTGGTTCTCTGTGAATGCTAGGAATTATTCAGCTTATTAATTTCCTAGCAGATCTTTGCCTGCACTCATAGAATTTTATCCTGTGCACCCCCATATTAGTATTTTGACTTCAGGATACGGCTAAGCAAATGTCTGAAAATCTTTCTCTGTGTAGCTCACTCCTCTCTGGTAGTGTAGCTCACTCCTCTCTGGTACTGTCCCTGTGAAATCCAACTTCATTAGCTTTGTCAAATTCCTATTCTGTTTCCTCAGTTTAGCAAAGCTGCCGTATTCTGCTTGGGTTGCTCTTTCACTCTATACCATAGTCCATAAATTGCTTCCAAGTAGGAAGACAGAAAAGGTAGGGCCCATCTTGTTTGTAACCTTCTTTTCAGGGATCATGGTCCTAACTTGTTCTCGTGTCTGAAAACAGTTGGCTTATACACTTTGCTAATTTTCTAGTTATTTATGGCTAGAGGGTAAGTTCCGTACCATTTGGCTGAAAGGGGAAGTAGCAGCTTAACCTTGCATGAATCGTGTCATTTACTTTTGACACCACCATGCCCTTTTATTTGTGTTCACTATTCTGGGGATGCACTCTTACCATTTCATCTAGTGGATTCCGATTCATTCTACAGGGCTCAAAATAAATGTTTTTCTAAGATTTTTTTTTCTCCTTTCCAGTTAATTGCTCAGTTGCTAAATTATCACATCACTGATGTATAATTTCACACCCATATATATTGTTGCATATGTATTCTTTAAAGTGTGTTTCATATTTTCTCTCTCCTACTGATACATGAAGTCATAAGCCATACTTATAATTAATTTATCTTTCTGTCCATAGCACATTGCATAAGACCTAACATATTTGATTGGTATTTGTTCATTTTTAAGAGTGAAGGAATAAAGATCTAAACTGACCCTTTAAGCAGGGTAGAAATGGAAATGCTAGTTTCTGTAGAAAAAATGAGTGTTTGGTGTTTGAGGTTGGGAGCCAAGATGTAGACAAGGTGCAGGCAGCCAGGGAGACACAGTGACTTTCAACCTGCAAGTATCATGTATATGGCTCTGCATAATGTTGACGGAAAAGATACTTATCCCCTAACTTTTTAAGGGCCACTAGAAAATTGAAATTAAAAGTTTTTAATATGTTTTATAAAAATAGGTTTTTGTAAAATTTTTTGTGAAAGTTCTTGAATTAATGTTTCCATAAAAAAAAAATTGGTAATCAATTGTATGTAATTCTTAATAAAGTTTTCTGGGAAGTTTTAAAGTAGTGGAAAACAACGCTACTAAAGTAAATATACCATAATATAACCATGAAAATCTTGCTGTAGTTAAAAGACAGGCAAAACAAAATGTAGTGTTTCTCTGGCTTTAGGTAAGGGAAGATACTTCCTGTGAAGTAGTTGATAACATTCTTAAATTTCCTGTAATCCTGCTTAACAGATGCTTTTAATGTTGCATTAAAAGCAACAATTAAAACAGATGCTTTTAATTGTTCGTTAGTATAATTTTGTTTAGTTCCACTAGTTAATAGGTTACTGCGTCAAACTTACATGTAAGCAGGTGAAAGAGAGGGTGATTACACATTGTATCAGAGGGTATATGCAAGTCTTGCTGGTCACTGAAGGCTAGTTTTTACAGCTTCTTTGATAGTCTGCCTTTGAAATATATCCTTGAAAATTTTCAGAAAATGGTAGTTTTGTGCTTCATATCTTGTGCTTATGTAAAGTACTTAAATTATATTACGACAAGAATGGGTAAACTTTATAGTGAAATGAACTAATAATAAATTGCTCTTAAATTTTAGGTAAAGAAATCTTTGTACTTATGTAAACTGACCTATAGTGAATTTTATTGTGGATGGTAGTAATGAGCTGAGAGACTCAGAGGACAATAAATTATTATTGGAAAACTTTTTGAACCAAAAATACAGTTCTTTGTTTTAGTTGAGGAACATGGGCAGTTCTGAGTGTCACAGGCAAATTGAGTGTGTGTGTGCGTGTGCAAGCGCGTGTGCGCAGAGGGCTCCATGGGCTGTGTGTTACATCATGGTGCATCGAGCCGCTTGGACTGAGTTGACAAAGTTCATACTGATTTTTGCTTTAGGTCATCAAATCCATATTAACAGTATGTGGTACTCCTAGGCTGTAATTAATTTACTCTGTAATTATGCTGTGAATGTTCACCATTTCCTTTCTTCTGACTTGCATATTACTTTAACTGTGCCTGAATACATGATGGCCATTACACTTAAATAACATAAAAATGGTTGTGATGCTTTCATATATGGTTTTTTTTCATACTACAACAAATTGTAATAAAAAGTCAGTTGTATAGGTTTAGTCAATATGAACACCTTATCAGCCAGTGAATTCTTTTACTTTCATCATCTGCAACTGCTCAGCTTACTTAAATATGTTCTTCTCTAATTTTGATGACAAATTGTGTCTCCTTATATGGGCAGAATTTGGAAATAGGGTTGCTTTAACAGGAAAGGAAGCAACTAAATTATCTTATGAAAAGGAATTCAATAGGTAGCTCTTTTTCTGATAGCAGCAACATGGCTGTTTGTAGTTAGATATTTCATGTCAATTTTATAGCAACTTTATGAAAGCAATCTAGCCTCTTTTTTAACACCTAAAGGAAATTTTGAGATATGACATGAGCTGTTATTTATGGTATGAATGAATGTTTAAGTATAGACTTTTTGCTGAAGGAAAATGAAAATTTTTTAATGTTGATTTCCCCCCTCCCCTTATTGGCAAAATTAGTTGGAGAAAAATAAACCCAGATGCTTTGGCCAGAGGTTGAAAGAAAGTTTAAATCAGTACTCTCTTTCAGAGAGGCTAGACTCTTCCTATTAAAATTTCAAATGCACGTACACTTTAGTCCAGCTGTTTCTTTCTAGATGTCTACCCTTGAGAACTCCTTGCACATAAGTGAACCTGTGAGAAATTATAATGTGCCTTCTTATCACAGTATTGTTTATAGTTGTGAATAATTAGGAAGAAAGTAAATGTCCTTCAAAGGGGAATGGTTACATCAGGTATGGTTTATTCACAGGGATGTAAGAGTTCAAAATTACAAAGTAGATAAATATAAAACCATTACAGAAAGATTAAGACATGTTTAAAAGTAAGAAAGAGTTGTAGAACAGTATCAGTAGAATGTGTCCTATATTACCATTTGTTTTTTTAAAAATCCAGGCAACCAATATTTTTTGTATGCATTTAATATGTATATATTTTTAAAAATTCTGGTAGGATATACTACACCAAAGGGAGAATAGCACTTATCTCTAGATGTGGTTCGAGAATTGGGGAAGGGTCTTTAATTCGTTGGAGAGCATTAGCTTTATTTTCATTATTTGTGTTTTTTCTAAATATAAATATTATATGTGTTCTTCTACCAAAAATTTTCGAGAAATTTTCACTTGAAAGTATGTTAATACAGTTTACTGTTAAAGTTTAATTTTTGAAGTTCTTAATCTGAACTAATATTAGAGGCTTGACATTTTTATTTAAAAGGAAAAATAGATACAGGGACATACATTCAAATTATACTTTACCTAAATAAAGATACTTAATATGTAAAATATTAAGAACAAAAAGGCTAAATCTTTTTAATGAGTCCTTTTACTTTATAATTAAAGTGTGCTTCTGCCCTTCTCTAGTGCTGCTGGGGGTGAAATCTTTGACCAGTGTGTTGCAGACAGAGAAGATGCCTTTACAGAAAAAGATGTTCAAAGACTCATGAGGCAGATATTAGAAGGTGTTTGCTTTTTGCATGCTCATGATGTAGTACATCTTGATTTGAAGGTAAGATCTAAATCACTTTACAATTTTGAGATTGCTAGAGAATGACATACTAGATGTAAAATATTTCTAACAGTGATTTATTTAAGTATTTATCAAGTTTTTGTATTTTATTAGGTACTAAGGATATGAAGGTTGTGTCTGTTCTTATCCATTAGACAATTATTTACATTAAGGAGGTAATGCACGTCTGCGTACATAGATAAATAATAATACATTGCTCAAAAAACAGAGCTTAGAGGGTATTGGTGGAATAGGTGAACTCTTCCTAGTAAGAGACAGAGTTTAAGCCAGACCTTTCAAAAAAAAAATTAGGATATAGATAGAGAAAATATAGGAAAATGTAGAAAATAGAGGATAAAATTAACTCACAAGAGTTAGGAATACTTGTTGGGCAAACATCAGTGGAATAGTGTCACTGTAATTGAGAGATGAAATAAGAGATACTGATAGTTGTGGAAAAGTCAGATTCTGGGAGTTTCTAATGTCATGAAGAGGTAGTTGACTGAAATTTTTAGCAGGGATATCTGAAAACCATGTTGTAGAAAATTAGGCAGCAGTAAATAGAGAACTAAAGAAATTACAGGTGGGTATATTTCTTTTTCTTTTTTTTAATGTTTATTTATTTAATAAATAAGACAGTATGAGCTGGGGAGGGACAGAGAGAGAGGGAGACAGAATCCGAAGCAGGCTCCAGGCCCTGCGCTGTCAGCACAGAGCCCTATGCGGGGCTCAAACTCACGCATCATGAGATCATGACCCCAGCCAAAGTCAGACACTCAACCGACTGAGCCACCCCGGTGCCCCAGAGGTGGGTAGATTTCTAGTTTAAAATTATCAAAGAAGGAAGGGGAAGAGGGAGGAAAGAGTACACAAAGGGCAGTTATAATGCTTTCAAGTGATCAAAATGCCAGCTGAAAGTATGGGAAGCAAAAATGGACATTTTATTAGCTAAAAAGTCCTTGGACATTCTAACTTAAGGAATGGCACTATTCGTTAATTCAAATATTGCCAGTACATAGTTGGTTTTTTCTTCAGTCTCCAACTCTGCCTTCTCAAAATGGCGGTAAGATGGTAGTAAGTTAGATACTGTCATTTTAGCCTTATAGTTGTCCAGAGATTCAGCAAGAAGGAGCCAGGTTCTATTTATTAGTCCTGAGATTCACTCTCATCAAACCAACTTAGATCAGTCTAGAACTAATAAGTATGTCAGGGGGAGGGAGGGGGTGCCGGGTTTTGACTGGTCAGGCCAGCATTGCCAGTGTCATTTGCTCCAACCCAGCAGGGTTAAATTCCTCCTCCCATTCCAAGTTTTATTTGGACTGAGAGTGGGGAATGGATAGATTCTCAGACCAGTTCTGTTTCAGGAAGAAACAGAGAGTAGGTGGGTGCTCAGGAGATAGTGAATGTCCACTACAAGTATCCTTAGCATATTCCTTTAGGCATCTGGGATAGAAAAGTCTAAGATCCCTGTTGATGGTTGCTTCCACCTGAAGTCCAGGTGTAGCTATGGGGAAATGAAACATTCCTCAAGGAGTACACCAGTGGCTCCAGTTCCTTACTAGTCAGAGGAGTTCAGGTTAGGAAAGAATGTAACGTGAGGAGGCTGAATCCCTGGACCTAAGAGGCTTTCCTATCTTGGACTTCTGCAGCCACATTCCACTCCTCGTTCTCTCCCGATCTGTCTTGACCTCTGCTGTAGTTTGCCCCCCGCAGAAAGTAGACACTTAATGGCAGTGGTTCTCCAACTCTGACAGGGATCAGGATCGCCAGGAAAGGCTTATTAAAGCAAATGGTTAGGCCCTGATTCCAGAGTTTCTCATTCAGGGAAGGGCCATGTGATGCTGATACTGTGGGTCCAGGCGCCATTTTGAGAACCCCTGCTCTAGGGCGCACTGTGACACCTGATTGAATACCGTATAAACAACTGTGTCTAATCTTTACTGCATGAAGGAACACTCTCCAGGAAGAGTGAACAGTGTGTACTCTGGAGGTTGACGTCTAAAGTAAACTTGATAAAATTCCATCTGAAATAAGGTGGAAGGGAATAGATAATTCTTTCAAATAGTAGTTTCCTTCAGAAAAATACAGAGGAAAGAAAACAATTTGGGAACTTTTTCTTTTCTGAAGAATGCCAATTTAAATCCATTCTGTAAGCAGATATTTTTTTAGTACAACGGCTAAAGTGCATGATTATAACACTGTAGACTATGGTAGTTAGAGTGGCATTTTTTGAAAGTAAGTGTGGACAAGTGTGTGCCCACATGTAGTCCCAGGGTATTAAGGCTGAAGATGATTAGAGATCATCTAGGTAGAACCCTCTTAGCAAGAGTGGGGGAACTGGGGCTTTGTTATTTTTCCTTTAGTCTGCCATATGTTTAGAAATTCAGAGATCTGTGTTGTAAGAAATACCCACCTGTGCTTCCCTCGGGAACACTCGCCGGAAAGACATGGTCTCTGCAGCCTAGACTTGAGTGGACTCAGACTGTAAGAAGCCTCAGGTAGTCTCAGCCACGCAGAAGAATTCCCAGAAGTAATGTTTGTGCTATGCTTGTTTTCATGTTTGGTTTTACACACTTATCTTTGTTAAGTCCTCTTGTTTTTTAGGTTTTGCTAGTTTTGTGATATAAAAAAGGACTTCTAGGAATGAACCCCGATTTAAAGAACACTACTTCTGTAGGAAATACGCTTTCGATTTATGACAGCTCAACCTATGACTATTATTCAGGAACTAATTAAGTAGCAAGTCAGGTTGTCAACACTATGTGTCATGGATCTTTGATGTTACTTGAAAGCCCCCAAAGGTGAAAATTAAGTTCTTGAATACCAGGTTTAACTGTATTTACTCAAGGAAATTATATCCCTTTCTCCCCAATACACTCCGTATAAATCATCTTCCTTTCTCCCCAGTACACTTAGTGTAGAATTCTTTCTGGATTTAATAGAGGCTTTGATGTTGGAAACTGGACTGTTTCCTAGGCCCAGAGGAACTAGAAGACAGGGTGGCCCAGTAGGTTCTCAGCCTTACTTCTGCCCTCGCGGTCTTCACATGTGCAATCAGATTTGTCTAAGTGAACTGCTGAAGGGGGAAGGTTGGAGATGGGGTTGATGGGGCAGGAGTGCAGATAGGAATGGTTTCTACCAGAAGGTCATCTCCAGTTGACTTTCTTTGACCTCTGTGAGTCTGGACAGAAGGTCTACTGTCCTATACCTTTTAACAGCTATCTGCCCAGTGACAGTTTATGCTTGTACTGTTGACTCTGAGTCTGTAAGAGCTTGAAAGCTACAAAGCTAAATAATGTCTTCTAAAGTATTAATTCTGTGAATTAGAGAAAAAAATAGTTTTAATTCTATTAAAATTGGTAATCCCCACTTGTACGTTAACTTTGAGTTGGTAGAGTATTCTCCCTATTATGGTTAAGATGGGGAATTCTTGTCCCAGAGACAAGGAGGAGTTAGAAGTTAGAATGCTTATTACAGTTGCTCCTATGAAAGAGATAAGTGACACATGGGAAATCTGCTACTTGGCTGCAGGTCAGACCCCAAATGGGCAGTTTGCCAAAAGACTATTCACTGAAGACTCTCAGCCAAATAACTTAAATTGAATATGGCAAATGCTTTGAAGGGTAGCAGATGCAGATTTTGGAGTGTTTCTAGGATGACAAAAATAGAAAAGACACTAGATTGTGATTAGGGGAAAACCCATTCATTGCATGTAAATCATGGCGGGACTGACAAATCTGAGAAACAACAATTCTACCAAAGTCAGAACAAAACTAAAAGCTTCAAAATAATATCAGTTAGTGAATTAGTCATTGGCATAGTGGCCTGCTTTTACTTCAGTCAGAGGAAGGACTTGACCAAAAAGAACACAAAGAAACCCAGTCTTAAGACCCAGTGCTCTTTGTGTTTGAATGGTCTTCTGTTGGTTAGACCTTCCAGCAGCTCTGTGCTGGGCATGTAGTAGTTCCCTCTCCACCCTGTTAGGTGGATATGATGAGAAGCTTGGGAGCAGACCAGGAACTAGAAGCCAGAACTCTACCTTTTGAGGTTTAAGTTGGTCACTGACAATTTGAAACCGTAACATTTCTCAACAGCCTCCCAAACTGATTTAGACAGTAATATTAACCTATTTCTGTACTGTGATCTGGATTTTAATAAAAGTCACTTAACTTGAATTCTCATTGCCTGATAAAAATGTTGTTTAAAATTTTATCCATGGCACCTTGAGGCTAATTAATAAGCAAGTTAGCCTCAAGTTTACAGTGCTCTTTTCCAGGGGTGATTGTTCAGTAAATGTTAAATGGGTTTTATACAAAGACGAAGATAACAAGATAAATGAAAGGATTCCCCCCCAAAACCGAGAAATAAGATTTTACAGAGATCTCCCTACTGCCTTTATCTATTTGAGGACAGTTTGTGTGTTTCCTTCCCTTCCCTACCCCCCCCCCCCCCCCCCGCCCCCGCCCCTTTCATTGCCTCTCCATTGACCATGTCATTTTCTTTCTTACCACCTGGGATTCATGCATCTTAAATAGAATTAGGTAGGGGCGCCTGGGTGTCTCAGTCGGTTGGGCGGCCAGCTCAGCTCAGGCCATGATCTCACAGTTCATGGGTTTGAGCCCTGCATCGGGCTCTGTGCTGGCAGCTCAGAGCCTGGAGCCTGCTTCCGATCCTGTGTCTCCCTCTTCTTCTGCCCCTCCCTGCTTGTTCTCTGTCTCTCTCTCTCAAAAATAAGTACAATTAGGTATTGTGAGCCACAGCTTCTTTATCATGAACTGGGTTCTCTAGAAAGGAAGTCTAAACTGTAATGCTAATGCACATCTCTGTTTTCAGCCTGTATATTTCACTTCCTGGAAGTGGGTATGTTTTGCCATCAAACACTGACAGATTATAGTCCTGTAATTGTACTTCTTTTTTATTTAGAGGAGTAAGGTCTGTTTTTAAAATGTGTCTGTGGTCAAACAGGGCACAGTTGATAGAAACTACGTAATAAACATTAA